GAAGGTAGGAGAGTCAGCAGGGCAGGGCAGGGTATGGGCAGGCCTGTGCCCAGGGTGGGGACAGCGCTGCGGCCTTACCGTGCAGGACAAGGACACGGAAGGGCACGCGCAGGAGCTTGATGGGGGAGTTCACGCGCTGGCAGCCGATGGTCAGCTTGTACACGTACTTCACCGACTGTCCCCGGAAGGAAGGGGGGCCATCCACGGGCAGCGTCTCACAGTAGGAATCTGCAAGGAGCACAGAAGGGATTGCTTTCCAAGGCCACGCTGAAGTTCCTGGAGCTGCTGGCCAGAGACCCCCTGCGCTGGCGGTTGGGAAGAGCAGGGGGCTGAGCAGGGAGCAGAGCAGGGTGCTTTCCACCGCCTCCTCTTTCCTTTGGCAGGCCAAGCACATGCCCTGCTGCAGTGTCCTGCGTCACACCTGCTGCCCTTCAGACACTGCTTCTGCATTTGCAACCACACACACCAATTTTGCCTCAAAAGAACATGAAAGATGTAAAATCTGGGAACACGACCACAGGAGGACTGAACTTACTCATCACAAACTCAACCTGAATTTGCCTCTGCCTGCCAGCACATAAGGAAATCCCTTTATAATCCCCTGCAACCACCTGAGCCCCGGAGCCAGGAAAAGCTGTTGATAACAAGAGGCTCTCCCAGGCCCTTCTGAGCCTGTTGGAACCACTGCAGGGAAAGGGGCTCCCCCTGTTCCTGGAGAACAAATGCTCCAGGCAAACACTTGCCAGCAGCAAGGAGCGCAGGGGGATCCAGGTGAGACCTGGGGCACTGGAGATTTCTGCCTCCTCCTCCCTGGCACAGGCACCTTCTGGAACATGAGGCCTCCTGCTCTGCCACGGCACGGCCAGCTTCCTGCTTGGGAGGGAAGGAACAGGAGGCAAATGACCCCGTGTTGGATAATGGAGGTCGCTGTTTAGGACACACACCCAGCTAATGTTGCTGGACAGCACTGCCCCAGCCCGCCAATGGCCTGGTCGAGCCACGGCCATTCACCCTGCCTGCTGCTTTGCCCAGTCAGGCCCGAGGGTCTAAAATGGCAGCAGGTCACAGCCTCAGAAACAACACATTACAGTTTGCGTCTCCTTGGTCCTGTCTGCAGCTCTGCTCTCACCTCCCCAGGGGTGAATGCTCCAGCGGACCCCCTTGAACCACCAGCACCGCATCTCTGCTCCTGGGCTTTGAGAGTGGAGGAGCATCTATCACCCAGGCACGGCACGTACCCAGGGCAAGCTGAAGAGCCTGTCCATGCACAGAGCCTGTGATGCTTAATGTTAAGCCACTGCAGGACCACAGGTTGCTGAAATGCAAAGGAAGTCTGCCGAGAAACGACAGGCTCAGTCACATGTCTGCCAACTGAGAGGTTCTCTGTGAAACCATGAAATTTTATCTAAAGAACAAATGGGAAAGGAGCAATGAAGGAGCAGCTGGAAGGGGACCCAATGGAAGAACACAGCTGAAGGGTTTTGAAGGGATGGAGAGCTCCAAGCTGGAGAAGATCAGAAGTACTTGCTTTTGTGGCAGAAAAGTCAGGAAAAACAGGACAGGCAAGACTGTTATTTGAAGGACAGCCATAGCCTTCGGAAGAAGCATGGACCTTCGGAGGATGCCATTAAATTCCAAGAATGCTCCAGTGCAGCCAAAGAGAAAAAAAAGGCAGGGAAAAGCAGGTAGGTGTTTCTGTTCTTTCAGCTGCAGCCAAAGGTACTTCAAGAGCATTTCATGCCTTGCAACTACACAACAGACCTGTGGCAAAGGACACGGGCCAGAGGGCAGAACCAAGGGACACTTTGCAGTATGTAGCCCTGGTACGCTGGAGAACAAACTCTGGATGATGCTGCAGGGAGCAGTTCCTTAGCATTCACACTCCCACCAAGTGACCTGGCCTTCTGTGAGCGCCAGGTCTTCCACTTGCAGCACCCAGGTCTGCAAAGCCGGTGTGAGAGCGGGGGTACCAAGAGGTGAACACTTTGAGCAGAGGAAGAGAAGACAGGACTCACAGGACTTTGACTCGCCAGGATCCAGTCGCAAGTCACAGAAGAGAATCTTTGGTGGAATGGACAGGATACACTGACCCCGTTCTCCTGGAAGAGAAGAAAACTATGTGAGTGCTGCACAGCCTCTGTGCCACGTGGAGGGGACACTCACCCTGCCCGGGGCCCTGCACGTTACCCTCACCAGAAGGAATGGGAAGGAGAAGGGGCCAACAAGGAAATATCTCATTTCCCAGGCAGATCATGAGACATTCCCAGAACAGCTCAACTGATAACCCTCATGTTTTGCTCCAACCCCCGCGTTTCGCTCCAGCCCTCGCGTTTTGCTCCAGCCCTCGCGTTTCGCCCCAGCTCAGCACCGTTTTGATCTCAGTGTCGAGGCCCTGCAGCAGCCATACACCAAGGAATTACTCACGGAAAGCAACAGAGACCTCCCTTTTATGCCTGTGTGCGCTGCCTGCGGACACACATTACTCGGCTGACTCCTGCTCGCGGTGCCCTCACTGCCCCTTCCCGGGGCCATGGGAGCAGGACTCACCTCTGTTGGAGACGAAGACGGTCTCGTTCTCGACCTGCACATTGCGCTTGCTGCCGTCCGAGGGGGGAAGCACTATGCGGCTCTCGCTCACGTGGAACTGGCAGTGGATCTGGGCGCTGGCCCATGCCAGCATCTCGCTGGGAGCAAAGAAGAGCAACATTTGTGTCTATGCTTTAACCTGGATTAAAACAAGCAAGAACCTAGAGAGCAGTAGCTCTTCCTGGAACAGGGCCTCGCTTCACTTGCTGGTTGTGGAAGCCACTCACAAAGCCCCGCTCTGAGCAGGCCCTTGGGGCAAACCTGGGCTGGGTTATGCACCCAACGCCACTTCTGCCTCCGCTACGTGACAGCCACCAACCTGAGGCTTCACCCAAGGGCTGAGCCCGCAGCCCCTTGCTTAGCAGCGATTTTTTTGTGTCAGTCAGAGCTACAACACATTGGGCATGGCACAAACGCTGAAGAAACACCCCTGCCCCACACAAGGCAAAAGACGGGAAGCAACACAGGTCAGCAGCCCCTTCCACCGAGAGCTCCCATGGGGCAATGTGGCCTGTGCTGAGTCCCGCAGGGATCTGACACCAAAGATGCTGAGAAGAGTCTTGAGACCCAGTCCAAGGCCCTCCTTGCTTGGCGCCCTCCTCATCACCAAACCAGCCATGGACACACACTACTGTGAGGAAAGCTCTAGCTGTCCCACGTGGGCCATGCCGGGCAGGAGACTTTTAGCCATCACAAATGAGAAGTGACACGAGTCCTCTGACCTCTGACTGCCTCTGGCGAGGGGGCAGCAGCAGGGAAATGGCTGTGCAAGATCAAACTGGAAACAACCAGGACCTCCAACCCAGGCAGAGCCACTGCTCTTCTCGCTCCAGAGAAAATCTCTCTCAGCTGCAGTGCAAAAATAAAGTCTCACGTCCTACCCTGCTCCTTGCTCCGAGGCTTGGCCACCCCTGGTGTTTAGCACAAACTCCTGGAGCACCTATAGCTGAACCAGAAGTACTGGGTGAGGGCTGAATCCCAGCTGGGATGCTGGGGAAACCATGCTGAAAAAGCAGCATGAAGCTGGGATGGGAGAGAACAAGCATATTCCTCACAAAAGACAAGGTCTAGGGCAGGGAATGCTGCAATATCCACTTTTTTTTTTTTTCCCTAGAAAGCAAATGCAAATTAAAATGTAGTATGAAATAAAGCCTGGCTCTCAGACAAAACCCAAGCACCACGGAGATGCCTCCGACGCCAACCAAAGCAGCAGGCGCCTGTCACCAACTCCCCCGGCTCCCTCTGCCCGTCACCCTATAGGCATGAGGTTCTTCTGTTTGAAACGCCACAAGACTCTGCAGTCTCCATGCCCATGATATTCCTTATTTCATCCGAGGAGGAAGCACTGAGAGGAATTTACTGGAGGCTGTAGAAGAGGCAAAGGTGTCATTTTGCTGCCTTCCTGTTCAGTCACAAGAATTGTTTTGTGCCCAACATGAAAAACAATCTTGCATCTCTGACTTTGTTATAGCCTTGGCTGTCCCATGGGGTATTTCCCATGGCATCACTCACATCTTTCAGATCCAAACCCTTATCTATCTGCATTTTAATAGCTACACTGCCAATCTAGGCAGTGCCTCATTCCTCTGGTGTTATTTAGCATCACCGTCTCATCAGTCTGCCGTGTTCCTTTTAGCTGATCAGTTAGGTACTATTTGATCATTTGCCTGTTCTGGCTGCCAATGCATTGGGTTCTATACCCTGTTACTGCTAACTCTACATGCTGTAATTCTGTATCTTCAAAGTGTGGCTTTTTTATAGGGGTGTTAAAAGGTTTTCATAAGACTTCTGCTATATGAAAACACACAAATGCTCTTAAGAGACAGATTTTTAGTAATTTTATATAACCTTAACATGGTTATGGTACCTTCAAACACAGGATTCTTGTCTGTTCAAACACAGTGAATCTTGTCTTCATTTATTTTCAGTATAGCACAACAAAATACCCCAGAATTGTTCTATTTTTTAACCAGACGCACAAACAAAATTTGCATGTGTCTTTCTGCCAGCAGACCTTGCTCTTTCAGCCAGCAGGATCCTGCCTTAGTGCTGAGGACACTTCTCCCTTCTCCCACTTTTCCTTATAGCTCCCGCAGCCTGCAACAGCCCCAGTCATCACGTCACAGCCTTATGTGGAACATCTTGGACTCATTTTTCATATGCCTCGCACATCACAATCAAATTCTCTTTATGCCATTTGCTTACTACCCTATGCTACAAATATATGAAGCATATATAGGGTAGTAAGCAAATTCTACCCTATACAGCAGCAGAGAAAGTGGCCCAAATTCAAGGCAGCTTTCACCAGTCCTGAGAGCTACTCCTTGAGAAGCCCATCTGTTTACTGCAGTGACTGAACTTTGATCTGGCTACTGCTTTTACTCTATAGCTTCATTTTCTGATCCACCCATCTATTAGGTGTTCCCATTCATGTGATACAGCCCAGACTGGTCGGTTTGGTCACATATCTTTTTTTTTCTTCCATGAGGCAGGTTTTGAAATTCAGAGGTGAATCTCCCATTACTGTGCTGTGAACCTCCAAAACTGCTCCACTTTCTATCTCTGCAGTCCTGCATGTTTACAAGTAATAGGAGCTGCACTGAGTCAGTCCCAGAACAGAGCCAGAGCTCTGCATCCAGCCAGGCTGGAGCTGTCCATCCCCTCACACACTGTCCTCCCAGAGCTGGGAAAAAAACAATGTTATCACTTTACAAGACAAGGTTCTGGAAGCTAGAAGCTCATGCCATAGGTGAGCTTGGGAGTTTAACTCATCGGGCAAGAGGAAACCTGAAGAAAATATGGAAAGCCAAGGAAGTTGATTAAAGGGTCCCACAGTGGTGATACCACCAGACTGCTGCTCCATCGCATCACACCGGCACAGACCTGCCTGAGATTCATACCAGCACTGAACCACACAGAGCTGGAAATGATACTTCCCAGGAAGGACCCACGAGAAGAAAGCAACCTCCAGCCCCTGCAGAACCAGCCAAGGTCACGCACAGAACAATACGAGGCACAGAGGCTTTGGGTAAATTCTGTTTGGAATTTACCACACTCTCCCTGTGAGTCAGTACAGGAAGCTGCTCTCTGCTCACCTTTCCTCCATGCTTACCTACAGGCAGAACAAAGACACAGAGAGATGCAGGACTCAAGGGCTGGGCTGCAGAGAACATCTTTGACTCATCCCCTCTCTGGGCTTGCCCCTTTGATGGGCAATCCTGGGGTAGGATCACCCTGACTTGTTTGTGCAGTGCCGGGCATAGAGAGTTCCTTCCAGAAACATAGGAAATAGTGACACTTAGTCACTATTTAGTGACGAAATAGAGGTTGCCCAGTAAGTCTGCTGCACTGGTGTAACCAGACTCCCTGGTTTCATAGCCAGTTTGGCTTCATTTTCTGCCAGTGACTCTGCTGCTGAGGGCACACTCGAGGGACAGCGAGGACCATCTCCCTCAGCATCTTAAACTGCATATTTTCCTCCAGTCTCTCTTGGGAGCAGAAAAGTATAATTGCCTCCCAGTTTCAGCCCCAGCAGCAGAGATAGGGCCAAACACCACTTGCACAGCACGCTGGGGCAGGGAACTGCCCCGCAGCGCTGCCGTGACTGCTCCCGAGCACTGCAGAGAGCCAGGCAGCGCCTCGGCATGAGCGCGGGCTGCCCTACCTGTTGGCAGAGGCGGACAAGGCTGATAAGGGGTTGTTGAACGTGATCATGCACTCGAGCATCTCCCCCGCCAGGAACACGGGCCCACGGCCCAGCCTGGTCAGCACCTTGATCATGGCTCGGATGGCTCTCCTACGTGCACACCCGCTGAACAAAACGGTGCCTGTGGAGAGAGGGCGGGATGCAGCGGGGCTCTGCACATGGACACAGCGAAGCCAGGAGCAGCCCCAGTCGTGCGGGTGCACACCAATGTGCACGGGGGTTGGTGACAGCCCGCATAGGGAGCACACATGTCCAAGAGGGTCAGGGAGAACCCCGGGCACAAGCAGAAATACACGTATTGGGGGGTAAGGGACAGCCCCAGCCAGACACACACACATACTGGGAGGTGAGGGACAGCCCTGGTCACTGACACACAGGCACAGGGGGACCAGGGACAGCCTTGTCACACTGAAACGCATACATACAGGTACAGTGGGACTGGGGATAGCCTGGTCACACTGACACACACAGGTCCAGGGGGACTGGAGACCTTGTCACACTGACACATATACACACAGGTACAGGAGGACCACGGACAGCCAGGTCACACACACAGACTCACACACACACGGAGCTACAAGGGGACCACACACACACACACACGTACAGGGGAACGGGGTACAGCCAAGTCACTCACACACACTCACTCACTCTCTTACACACACACAGGTACAGCCCTCCCCTCTCCCCGAGGGCAGGACGGCGGTGCCCGCAAACACACACTCGCAAACACACCTGGGCGGGGGGCCAGGGTAGCCCCGGCCGTTACGGCGCCGCGCGCATCCCCC